CTTACAATCCTTTCTACAAGTTCTCATCTACTATATTTAAGCTTTCTTGGATTTTCAATAATTTATATTTTTTATTATTTTTGACACCTCAAAAAAAATTAATCTGGACACTCTATCTCATTAACTGAAAGCCACTTTTTAATTCCAGATTAATAGTTATTAAATCAGCCTGAAGACTCCTTCCTGTTGCTGGATGAGGTTCAAGTCATTTACTATTAACTAGCTAGTTAAAAGTCTACTACAACATATTATTTTGTACTGTATTTTTATTTAGAATGTCATGAATTTTGAAATAGTAAAATAAGGACAAAGAAAATTATGCTACAAAATCACAGAGTAAAATAAAAAAATTATATTCCTTGATATCATTATATAGCATGTAAACCTTGGCTATTAAATGAAAGGTCTTTTCAGGTCCACAAGAGACTGTTTAATGGTTCCCGCATCACTGGTGTATGAAGCTCACTTCCCATCTCTCCCAGTCTCGGCTCTAATGCCCAATTCCTTGGGTGATATGAGCCCGGGAGAATGTGTGATCAAAGCAGGTATTCAAGAAGATTAATCTGGGCCGGCACCGTGGCTTAGTGGTTAAGTGCGCGCGCTCGGCTGCTGGCAGCCCGGGTTCGGATCCCGGGCGCGCACCGCTTCTCCGGCCATGCTGGGGCCACGTCCCACATACAGCAACTGGAAGGATGTGCAGCTATGACATACAACTATCTACTGGGGCTTTGGGGGGAAAAAATAAATAAATAAAATCTTTAAAAAAAAAAAAAAGATTAATCAGCAGCCATACAGGATGGACCAAAGAATTCTGTGACAAAAACCATAACCATTTCCAGATTGTGAGCAATGGACCAACATGGGATAGAATTTAAGGAAAAGGAAAAAAAAAGCTATATAAAAAAGGATAAAAGTAAAAGGACAAGAAGACTTGGGAAAGAAATAAGAACATATCAGAAAAAATTAAAAATAAACACAGGAGGAAAGGGTACCACAAGAGAAATACATATCCAAAGGTATGGCTAAAATAATACAAATAGAGCCTAACTTTCTAAAGACTAAATGCTTATAATATTAAGTAGCCTGAACAGAGATTCTGGAACAGTCTGGAGCTAAAGTGACAATGTAAATTCATAATGCAAGCAGAATAAACATATCTTTATAAAGAGATGTAAATTTATTAAACTTAGGAAATCATCACTGGAATTTCACCAAATGCCACATTAAACTAACTTACTTAACTCTCCACTATAGTGGAAACTGCTGCAGAAGTGACTCACAGGATATAAAAACCACTTGGTTCAATTAATCTCTTCTGTAAAGTGACAGCTAATAAATCTTTGATAATAAAGGACCCCTCTGTCTCTAAAGTTCTCAGTCTGGCTAAAAGATATCTTAGTATTCATTCTCTTTCTTCCTTATTACATAACTCGAGTTCATTAGAGATAGCAACGTGCCAAGCTTAAAGTATTTCCCAGAACCCTCCTGTAGGTTGAGGGGGAGGGACGGGGAGTGGCAGAGACCATGACTAAATTCCGGCCAATAACAAAAGTTATCAAGTGGGGTTTCTGCACAAGCTCCTTAGAAAGTGGAAGGAACTCAAGTGGAAAGGCCTCTTCCCTGTCCTTTCTCCACCTTCTTCCTCCCCAGAAAGGTGCCATGATGGCTAGAGGTGCCATCTCGTAGTGCAGAAAGACAGACACCTAGGAAATTAAGGTTACCGAACTGCCAAGCAGCTTTGGTTACCTACTTCTGGTTATCTTTCATAAGAAAAAAATAACCCTATCATATTTAAGCCACAGATTTTAGAATTTTTAAAGACAGCAAAAGGCTTGTTTTTAAATTTTTTGTTTATTGCAGTAACATTGGTTTATAACATTGTAAAAGTTTCAGGTGTACATCATTATACTTCTATTTCTGCATAGATTACATCATGTTCACCACCCAACGACTAATTACAACCCTTCACCACACACATGTGCCGAATT